CTCCCTCAGCGCTGACCCTCCGACAGTGCGGCACTCCCTCAGCGCTGACCCTCCGACAGTGCCCACTCCCTCAGCGCTGACCCCCCGACAGTGCAGCGCTCCCTCAGCACTGATCCCCCAACAGTGCAGCGCTCCCTCAGCACTGATCCCCCGACAGTGCGGCGCTCCCTCAGCACTGACCCTCCGACAGTGCCTGCTCCCTCAGCACTGACCCTCCGACAGTGCCCGCTCCCTCAGCACTGATCCCCTGACAGTGCGGCACTCCCTCAGCACTGACCCTCTGAGGGTGGGGTTCCTGCTCCTGGTAACTGTCCAGTGACCATTGGGTTAGAGAGAGTACAGCAGTCACTATTTCAGTGTATGTGTGGGTGCCCTTATCCCAGTGAGAGAGAGAGAGAGGGAGAGAGAGAGAGTGTGTGTGTGTGCGTCAGAGTGTGTGTATGTGTGTGTGTGAGTGTGAGTGTGTGTGTGCGTGTGCCTGTGAGAGTGAGTGAGTGAATGAGTGTGTGTCTGTGTGTAGGACCCCGTAACCCAGTGAGAATCGTGTGTGTGACCCATACCCCAGAAAGAGTCAGTGAGATTTTGTAAATGCCCAATCTGCTTGGGGCCTTGGGCTCTGTGCAGCTGTCTGTGTAAACAGCCAGGCCACCTGTACTCAAATTTGCAACACAGTCAGATCAGAAATGGGCTTTGCTGTATAACTGACTGCCACGCACTGACCCTCAGTAGGAAGTAGAATGCTGCGTTTCCTCTCAGTGACTGAGACACTTGGCCCCATAAGCAGAAACTTCAACCATCCCCTCTCTCCGTCAATCATCTGACCATAAATAAAACCCCATTTCACAAAACAAGGTCAGGCAGACATTCCACTGCAGTAACCATTACCACTGATTTCAATGTAATCCTGGCTGAATGGACGTACACTCCCAGAATTGAATAGATGATGAGCAGGAACTCTGGCTGATTCTCTCTCTCCCTCTCTCTGTAAGCCAGAGATCACTAGACAGTGACCAGGAGCAGGAATCCCTGCCGATGACCCCTCTCTCTCTCACCCGGGGACCACCTGACAGCGATCAGGAATCCTGGCTGATTTCCCCTCTCTCTCTAACCCAGGGATCGCTGGGAAGAGATCAGATGCAGGAATCCTGGCTGATTTCCCCTCTCTCTCTAACCCAGGGATCACTGGAAAGAG